CCTGGTGTAATCCACGAGAACTAGCGAAAAAGCCTGCTCCAGAACACCGCTTCTGGCTCTAGCCTCAATACACTCGCTATCAATCAATACTGAGACCAGAATTTGTCTCCCACCAACAAATGCATTCTGAGACTTTGAGATCACCCCATCCAAGACTTCCTTAACCGGATTGCTAAGACTTTCGCAAAGATCTTATAAACAACCCCCACTAAGCTAATGAGTTTGAAATCCTTGGCCTCCAATGCTCCACCCTTTTTAGGAACAAGGGTAATAAAAGATGCATTAAGGCTCTTTTCAAAAACTCCATCAGAAAAGAAAGACCTAAAGGCTGCCATCACTTCATTCTTCACCAGCTCCCAGTTCTGTTGAAAGAAAGCAAGGGTAAACCCATTTGGTCCTAGCGCTTTGTTCATGGCCTCCAACACCTCCTCCCTGAACAGCCTCTCAAGCCAAACTCTATCATCATTTGAAATTTTTGCAATTCGAGCCCATCCAACAATTGTCTCCAACTAGCAATCTCTGTGAAGAGCTGCTCACAAGACGACACGAACCTATTCCGGATGTCTTCTTCCCTGGTAACCATGTTCCCACCAAAGCGCATTCTTCCAATGTGATTTCCTCTTCTATGAGCATTAGCCAAGCAAGGGAAGAATTTTGTATTCCTATCCCCTTCTTTAAGCCAAAGCACCCTAGACTTCTGTCTCCAAGAAAATTCCTCCATCTGCACAATTTCTTCAAACTCGGTTTTACATTCTTCCCTCCTACTCACCTCCCTATCACTATCACTGAGACCCTGCTCCCCCTCCTCCTTATCCAACTCAGAAATCTAAAGGAGGAGCTTGTTCTTCCGCCATTCAAGATTACCAAACACGTCTTTGTTCCAGGTCTTGATTTCTTCCTTCAAACGCCCAAATTTGGATGCAAGTTGGAAACTCGGGATACTCCTAACCTCGTACCCATCCACCACTCCCGGATCCTGTCTTTGAAATCCCCTACTCTAAGCCACATATTTTCAAACCGTAACGGGTTTCTCCCTCTCCTCATCCCTTCACAATCAAGAATAATAGGAATATGATCTAAAACTGCACGCGCCAACGCCACCTGAGACACATCTGGGAACTTCTCCTCCAAATCACCAGAAATTAAAGATCTGTCCAACCTTGGCCATGTAGGGGACTCTCGCCCGCTAGACCATGTGAACTGGCTTCCCTCCATTGGGAGGTCGAGAAGAAGCTGAGAGTCACTGAAACCTGAAAATTCTGTCCTTGCTAGGGTCCAAATGCCCCCCGTGGAACTCTTACTAGGCATCCGGACAACATTTAAATCCCCCACCCCACATACACCCACCACGGAACTGCCCATCTGCTTCTAATGATCCCCGACTCCTCCCATAACCCTGTCCTCTCCACATCCCCTCCCAGCCCATACACTCAAGAAAGCATCCACTGCATACCATCTTCCTCCAGTGCAAAAAGCAGAGAAATGGTGAACCTTCCTTTCCACACATCCACCTTAGACACCCACCTTTTGTCCCAAAGAACCACAATACCCCCCGCTGTCCCCTTCGCATTAATCACCTCCCAATCCATTAAGCTACCACCCCCATCGACTTTTCATAACTCTAGCTGTGGAGTCGGCTAACTTAGATTCTTGTAAACACACCACCTGGGACCCCCATTTTCGAATCAAAGCCTTCACCACCTTCCTTTTGCTTGGGTCATTGAGGCCCCGAACATTCCAAGACAGTACTTTGAGCTTCATAGACACACAATTTCTTTCCCCCCTCCCCTCCTGCCCCCACTTCTCTTATCACTTCCTTCTCCACTCCTCCCTTCATAATTTACATAGGATATGAGATTTTTTAGCTCCCTCTCCCCGTTCTAGCAGGGACTTTTCTTTTGCTTCATCAAAGCCCAATCATCATCCACCTCTTGGAACATGTCATGAATATTATCAACCTCCCCAGTACACGACATTCCCAGAAGCTTGCTAGTGCCCTCTATGCATTCCATGAACCACCCCTCATTCCTGCCTTCCAGATTAGCATCCCTTTGCACTTCCCTGATTGCAGCCAATGGAGTGACAATTCCTATGGTACCACAATTTTCCTACACTGGAGGTGGAAAGATCCAAGGCATGAATGCAATCAACAACAGCCCAATTGTCACCTTTAGAGAGGTGTGACAGATCACCAAAACAGTGGTCATTGCCATCCCCATGGTCCAACAAATTTGGCATATCAGCTCCACCCTTGACCCCAGCACATTGAAGTTCAGTCACTCAATCAATCAACAAATGGGTCTCATGACCAACACACAGAAATACACTCCCATCATCCTTCTCGCTTGGGATGAGCTTCAACAGCCCACAATGGTCCGTGACAACACTTGGGTCATAACATGAAAGAGCCCCAGTAAAGTCTGAAGACTCGGACAGATCCTCACTTTCATCTTCACGCCTACCTTCTGTTTCAACTTCAGACACCGGTGAGAGCCTCTGTAATTCTGGACATACATCCCTGTCCACACTTCCACCAACCCTCCTCAACACCCCACGAGGAGGAGTAGAAGAAGTAGAGAGAGGAGGCTTTGAGTTCAGGGCAGAGCACATACCAGGATTGATAGGGAAGCTGTTGCTTTTCTTATTCTTTTAATCTGTTGCAACAATGTATATGTGGATGTTCTTCATTGTGCTACCTGTTTTTTCTTTTATCATTTTGGTAACTGAAGTTACTGAACGTGGCATTAACTTTTTGGTTTGGAAGCCATATTTTTCCTAATTGCTGTTTAAACATGTGGCATCAATTAAGTGAGGATGTTTTAATGAATGTTTAACATGTCGTGTAAATTGTACTTGTTCATATTTACATTGGAACTATGGCCTTTGGAACCCACATCAGTTGTATTTTATTCATAAAATCGTAATCATGTTGGAAATAGATAGCCCGTGGAGCTCCTGTAGATGCTTAGTTTACTAATGAAACCATTTCTCATGACTTCCTGTTTAATTCACTTCTTACTTTTATATCTTAAATAGAGGTTGGAAGTTATACTTGGTCTTTAGTTTGGTTGACCTCTTACTATTTAGAATTTAGGGAATAAGTGGCTCTCTTTAAAACCAGAGTTGCTGCTTACAGTTGCTGTGGAAGATGATATCTGGAATGGGTTCGTGTCTTTTTTCAAGCGCTCTTTGAGGAGACTGCTTCTTGGAGGCCTTTTCTTGATGGGCTTGAGTTTGCGGTTGTCTCGAATGGTGATAGATACTGGTTTGAGATGCCGTTTGGGGAGGAGGAGCTGTGATGGGGATAAAGCTTTGAGGAGCCGTGATGGGGATAAAGCTCCTAGACTGGATGGTTTTACTTTAGCTTTCTTTCAGCATAATTGGGTGGTGGTGAAGGTTGAGGTGATGGGGGCAATTGGCTCCTTTTTCTTGCATGGATTGTTTGAGAAGAGTCTCAATGCTTCCTTTATTACTCTTGTCCCAAAAAAGGGTGGAGCAATTGAGGCATAGGATTTCAGACCCATTAGCCTTGTTGGGGTTGTGTATAAGATTATTGCAAAAGTGCTAGCCATTCTATTGAGGAGAGTGCTTGATGGGGTAATCTCGGATTCTCATAATGCTTTTGTTGGAGAGCGTCAAATTCTGGATTTAGTGTTGATTGTTGGTGAGTGTATTGAGGCTAGGGTGAGAAGTGGAATTTTGGGGGTTGTGTGCAAATTGGATATTGAAAAGGCTTATGATCATGTCTGCTGGGATTTTTTGATGTATATGATGAAGAGAATGGGCTTTAGTCAAAAGTGGAGGGCGTGGATTTTTTTCTACATTTCAACAGCACGGTTCTCTGTTTTAGTGAATGGATCTTCAGCTGAATTATTTGCTAGTTCTCGAGGCTTGAGGTAGGGGGACCCTCTCTCCCCATTCTTGCTTATTATTGTTATGGAGGCTTTTAGTCGTTTGATGGGCAGGGCGGGGAAGCTTGGGTTTATTTAGGGATTCTCAGTGGGTAGAGTTCCCAATCAGTTTGCGGATGATACCATTGTCTTTTGTGATGCTAATCTTCGTTAGCTGAGGTTTTTAAGGTGCGTGTTGGCATGTTTCCAAGTTGTTTCTGGTTTGAAAATAAATATTGGAAAAAGTGAGATTGTCCCAGTTGGGGTGGTGGAAGATATTCAAGTTTTGGCTAATACGCTGGGATGTGGTGTTGGCTCTTTTCCGATCTCTTACTTGGGACTCCCTTTGGGAGCCTTGTCAAGGAAATTTTTTGTTTGGGATCCAATTGTTGAAAGATTTGAGAAGAGACTTGCAGGTTAGAAGAAACAATACTTGTCAAAAGTGGGGAGGGTTACTCTTATGAAAAGCACACTTTCAAGCCTCCCGACCTATTTTTTATTACTTTTTAAGATGCCTAAGACAATTGTTAGAAGAGTAGATGCTATTCAGAAGAAGTTTTTGTGGGGCGGTTTAGGCGATGAGTTCAAGTATCACTTGGTTGACTGGAATAAAGTGTGTTCCCTATTAAAATGGTTGTTTGGGCATTTGAAGGCTGGATGTGTTTAATAAGGTGCTATTGGGCAAGTGGTTGTGGAGATTTGGGAGAGAGAGGACCAAGCTTTGGAGGCGTGTCATCGCTTGTCGTTATGGGGAGGGTGATGGTGGGTGGCAGCCTAGGGAGGTTAGATTCCCAGCGGGTATGGGCTCTTGGAAACTTATCCGTAGAGGTTGGGATGAATTTTCTAAAAGGATTCGGTTCAAGGTTCAAAGTGGAAGAAATGTCAGGTTTTGGGAAGACATATGGTGTGGGGATTCGGCTTAGGCCCGTAGGTTCCTTAAATTTACCAAATTGTTGTGAATAGAGATGCTATAGTTGCTGATTATTATCGCCTTGATAATGGAAGGGTGACTTAGGATATGCGGTTCCGTAAACAGTTCCATGATTGGGAACATTGGAGGTTACAGATCTTCTGACTTTCATACATAGCCAAGTGGTGGTCGGGGTGGGCATGGATGAGATGGTGTGGGTGGGTTCCTCAAGAGGGGTGTTTGAGGTCAAGTCCTATTTTAGTATGGTGGAGCTTCCTGGCCCCACTTTTCCTTGGAAAGCTATTTGGAGGACAAAAGCACCACTCAAGGTAGCTTTTTTCTCGTGGACAACTGCTTTGGGAAGCATCCTCACTACTGATAATCTTAGAAGAAGTCAAGTTGTGGTTAACGGGTGTTACATGTGTAAGAAGACGGGGGAATCTGTCAACCATCTTCTTATTCATTGCTTGGTGGCAAGGGATGTGTTTTTGGTTGCGTTAGGTATTCCATGGGTGTTCTCAGAATCTATGGTCGACTTGCTTGAGTCTTGGAGAGGGTGTACAGTAGAGAGCCGAGTCAGAGATGCTTGGAGGGCTACGCCCCTGTGTATATGGTGGGGTTTGTGGCGAGAGAGAAATAGGAGATACTTTGAGGGTGTGGAGTCTCCTATTTGGGCTATTAAGTATAGTATACTTTCTTCTTTATTCTTTTGGGTAAATGGGCGGGATTGTATGTCAGTGGATTGTCTTTTGGATTTTGTTGATAGCTTAAAGCTATAGTGTCGTCATGGACGGTGCTTGTCTGTTTTGGGAGCGCTCCCCTTTTGAGCGTTTTTGTGAAATCTTTCTTATCTATCAAAAAAAAAAAAAAAAAAAAAAAAATAGTGGATATTTTCATGACTTTTTAGCTTGTCTATTTGTTCATATTTAATTTGGAAACAGATAGTGTTTGATCTTCTGAAAATGTTTAGTTCACTAATGATTTCTTTACTTACTGGAAACATTTCAATATGTTTATTGTTAGGAGTTATACTCGGTCGTTACGCTGGCTAAGCTCTGACTGTTTAGATTTCAGAGACTCAATGGCGGCTTAGAAATCAGAGACATTGCTAGACAAAATCGAATTTTGTACATGCCTTCAAATTTTTGTTTGGCAATATTGCGAAAACATTCTCAATTTCTTCTTACTTGCATATCATGCCCCATTATAATGAACCCAAGAAAAAAGGGTTAAACGCAAATGATAATTCCAGCTTTTGGTTTGCCTTCAACGGTTAGCCACTTTTGTGCCTGACCTGAATTTTGGTTTCACTAGGCACTTATACTCTATGAATCAATGTCTTCTTGGACTCTAGTGATCTTATTAATGTGCTGTCCTTGTTGGTTTAATGCTCAGATGTTTGATTGTCAGGAATGTATCGTAAGGTATACCTGACGCGGAGTGTCAATGCTAAAGAAAAGGTTAGGCACATGGTATGGACGAATGAAATGGACCGTTGTTTCTCTAAGATCCTTGCAGAGCATGTTTCAAAGGGAAATAAATTAGATAAAGTTATAAAGCCTGCAACATATGCAGCAGTAGTGGCAGAGTTAAATGAAAATTTTGGGCTCGACTTGACCAAAGACCATCTTAAGAATCGGCTGAAAACGTGGAGGAAACAGTATGGTGTACTGAAGGAGATCCTTGCTCAAAAAGGATTTAAGTGGGACAAGGCACGGAAGATCATTGTTGCAGATGATGCTGTGTGGAATGACTACATAAAGGTATATGTGCATGAATTTGACAAGTTCTACAATTTTTGTTACACTTCGCTTTCTTTATTTGATCTGATTGGGTATAACTGGAAAATATTATAATAATCAATGAATTTCATATTCTATTTATTTGTAAATTTCTTGAATAGATCTACATGCCAACTTAGGTTTCTTGTCTTATATGTATGCTTTCATATTAAAGCTTTTTCTCGATTATTTTTTCAAAATTGTTAATTTATTGCTATCTATTTGCGGGCTACTGTAGTCACTATTTTCACAATATTTCTCAAACAATCTGTTTTAATATTCTGTTGGCACTATATCATACTGGAATTTGCAGCTATGATGTTAAATTTTCAAATTGTTGTTACCATACTGAATTATAATTTGTTTATTGATATGTAAACCTATGCCCTACCAGGCACATCCTGAAGCTAAACATTTTCGTGCAAAGTTCATTGAAAATTATGAAGAGTTATGTATTATTGTTGGCAATGATCAATCAGCAGCAAGTTCTTCTGATAATGGTGCTGAAGTTGATGTTGACTTGCTGTCTGATAACGAGGGCATGGATACTGCTGTAATGTCTGTGGTTCAGAGTGATGATAAGAAGACAAAAATCTTGAGATGGACAGAAGAAATGGATCGCTGCCTGAGTAAGATTTTAGTTGAAGAAGTGCAAAAGGGGCATAAAGTGAACAATATTATACAGACCGAGGCATATATTACAGCTGTTAGTGCTTTAAATGAAATATTTGGGCCTGATGTAACCAAAGACCATATTAAGAATCGGCTTAAAACTTGGAAGAAACAGTATGGGGTTTTGAAGGAACTCCTTTCTCATAATGGATTCAGATGGGATGAAACAGAAAAGATGGTTATTGGCGATGATTCAGTCTGGAATGACTACATCAAGGTACTTAACATGATTGATTTCATTTTTGTTCTTTTTGCTAGGTAGCTTCTGGGACTTGAGATACCACATGAAAATGGAATTGACAAATTAAATTTTTTTTTTTTTCATACTAAATAAGCAGACAACATTAGATGCAAAGTATGCTACTATATAGTTGATATTTTCGAAGGAATAATTCCCAAGATTATCATTTTCATGTAGCCAACTAGGTGCCATGAGTTATGACTAAAATCCTCTAATCTTTATGAACTAACGATATTGATTGGATTCTATTTTGTATTTTTTTGCATGACAAGTTTCTTTTAAATTACAAGTTTTTTTATTTTTATTTTTTATTGTGCCTATTCAGCACATAGTCAAATTTGTGGTAACCAACTGTCTAAAGGGCAAACCCAGTGCACGAGGCTCCTGCCATTGTTGGGTCTGGGAAGGGTTAGATGTACGCAGCCTTAGCTCTGCATGCGGAAAGGCTGTTTCCATGTTTCAATCCCTTGACGTCCAACTGCCTATGAGATACAATCCTTGAAACCTTAAAAATAAAGGCAAAACGATCACTACTGCTGGAACTATTACCACTAAAAATATTAACTCTCAGTTACTACTTTCTAATGGATCACTGTTTTTGGAGGGAAACGGGTGGTGTCCACTATCATGGTCTCTTTTCTTCTTTCGGGGAACATTAGTACCTGTTTATCAATATGATCCTGAACAGAGTTACGAAAAACAACACAATTGTTAGTAGAAGAATGCTCGTCGGAGTCATGATATTTGCAGTATAGTTTTCCTTTGAGCTCTTCTGTCCTGGGGACGACATGACCGTTGACCATTCACTATTTCTTGAAGCTCAATCCTCAATTTCGGAATCAAAGTCAAGATTTGAAGGGATTTCAAGCGCTGAACTTTGTAAGAAGTTCAGGAATGGTAGGGCTTGGCTTGATAAGCCAAGGTCTGAAGGCACTTCACTTAAGAAGCGAAGGAATGTTTACGGCCGAGCAACTAAAAAGTTAGGGAATTTGGGGGAATTACCAAACAGAGGATACCGCCACTTGAGCTCTTTCTTTTTATGATTATTCTTGTCGAAGATTTGGACACTGCTCACTTTATTTGTTCTATGTGGAGTCTTGACTAGATCCGTTGTAAAAAAGTTGTCTTCTAGACACTATTCTTGCTTTGTACCGGAATAGTACTGTACTTTCGCCAATTGGATAGATTTTTATTAAAACAGTATGAGTAATATAAGATATTGCTTTTATTTTGAATCAGCATACTGGGGGGTGCCTTTAAATGTATGCAACTCTTGCTTCTTCTATCATGCTATTGTTTACTAAAAACAAGGTACAACACAAACCTTAACTCCTGCGCTTTATCATAACCAATAAGTAGCACTCAAAGAAAGAGCAAGGGGAAGATGGTGTACTTCTCACGTATTTTGCATATTGAAATGATATATATAGAGACCTTGCTATTTTCAAATCTGCAACAAGCAATATTAGCGGCGATACCATGCTAGTGGATTAGTAGGTGAGGGCATTGCTCGTATTTTTTGATCTCTTATGGCCTATACCCTTTTCTTTTGCGTTTAGATTCATAGGTATAGCTTATATAATTGTCTTCCTCATACATATTTTGCTAAACTACTTTGAAAAATCTATCCTACTTTGAGGAAAGACGGAACTACAGTGGTGAAGAAAGATTTGAGTTTCTCATATACCTTCTACTTCATTTACACCTTGATTTCATACTGCGAATCTAACCCAGTCTAGAGTTTAGTTTCTTTTTGGAACTATTATCATTAATTTCAACTTTTTCTTTCATATAAATTCTTGTGGTGGCAAAGGAATGGATCAACTAAGTGAGCCTCTTTGTCCCTACTCTAATGGAACAGGAACAAGACTGCCATAATGAGGGTAGGGTCTAAGTCACACAATCCTTCTTAACAGGTGTCACTCTCATGTTTCGAGCGCGCTCCTGCTCTTATGCTCCGCACACGCTCTCGCTCAAATTCTCACTGCTTATGACTTAATTTTGCCACTCTCACGCTCCCGTTCTCGAATTCGCTCCCGCTCCCGCTTTATGTGACTTAGGGTAGGGCAGGGTAGACCCATGCGATTGAAATTGTCAGCTAGATTTGAAACAGTTGGCGGTTAGTTTGTCCCTCCTCATTCTACTTCTGTTAGAGCTGCAAATGAAGGCATCTCCTGTTCATGAACACCTAGGCCTGGCTCGGTGACTTCTTCATTTAAACTCAGATCACTTAGTATACAAGCTGAGCTGATAGTTGACAGGAACTTGAAAATGCATAGAAGGGCTACTCCTACAAAGAAGAACAAACAGAGGGGGAAATGAACGAGAGGCAATGATGCAGGATAGTGGATATGAAGATGAAAGGAGGTATGAAGCTGTCAAATTACCAGTTTTTTTTTGGATAAGTACCAGTGGACTAGGTTTTCAATGGGGGAAGATTCTGGCTTGGTGGATAGAGAGGACATATTAATTTTTTTTGAATTTTGGGGGATGGGGTTCGAATCGAACTCCCTAAAATTTTGGGATATGGTATCGTCCTTTAAGAGCCATGAGGGTTTGATGGGAGATTAGGTGAAAAAGCTTTAAGTTTATGGGGTAGGGGGCTCCCCGGATGAAGGAAGGAACAATCTAGAAGGAAGGGTTTTAATTATAGATCGGATAATGAGGACTACGCATTCTTAGTAGCAATGAGGGGTATTAAGAGATGGATGGGTACAGATTTTCTTGATTCAGAAAATATTGGGAATGGTTCTATTCTATTGGAGTTGGGTTCACAGATAGAAGAGGACCTAGGAAGCACGGACACTCCAAAATGGACGAAGAATCCGTGTCCGATACGTGTTCGACACGGACACGGACACGCGTCGGACACGCCCCGACACGTGTCGGATACACCAAAAAATGTGTCTGGAATTTTTTATTTTTTATTAATTTTCGGACACGGCACGGACACTCCGCGGACGCGGACACGGACACGGCACGGACACTCCGCGTGTCTGGAATTTTTTTTTTTTAAATGCTGATGTGTTATGTTTTTTGTTTTGTACTACCCTTTTGGTATTGTAAATGGTAAAAGTCCTAGGTCAAATGATGGATGGCAATAGATGATAGTACATTGACTTGTTTTTGTATCTTTTTTGGGGACTAGCCTTTAGGTTTTTGTGAATGTTAAGTGCTAACAGTAAAGTCCTGAATGTTAAACAGTCATAAATGTTAATAGTCCTTTCTGTCTATGCTTTTGTATTTGGAGTAAAGTTGCAATGATGATTAAATGATAATAGTTATTATTCTAATGTCTTGTTTTTTTATTTGGTTTTATAACTCTACAACACTGTTCTTTTATAGTTTATTAGTTATGAGTTATGATTTGTGTTTTTTTTTTCATTGTGAGGTTGATGAAAAATAGTAACACAGTAATTTTTAAAGTACTACATCATATATACATATATATATATATATACTATTTGCCGTGTCCTCGCTGTGTTCGTGCCCTGATTTTTTTGGATTTGCCGTGTCGCCGTATCCGTGTCCGTGCTTCTTAGGCAGAGGTGAATGGTAAGGATGTGGTGGTCCCTGTGGAATGTTAAATCATGAGCTCTTTTTAGTCTAGGGTTTACATGTTAGAGGAGCTCCTCCTAAGAGGTGAAGTACAAGAATCTAATGAGGCATTGATGCAAATAATTGTGGCCCAGTGAATTTCTTGGGCTTTTGTAAGTGCTTCAAGAAGGATAGAGCTATGATGTTTGAATATATTGATATAGGTGGAGCTTAAAGGGGACACAAGGATTGACATTAAGTGTAGGTGGGTCAAGTAGGCTTCGTAATGGAGTGGATCCGTAGTGGATCCATGTAAATCCAAGTCATATCCATATTATAATATTAGGATCCATGTCTAGATCCACAATATCTGAGTAGGATCCTTTGGACAGAATTCATATCCTACCCCTATAATCCATGTGTATTCCAAACAAGCCATACTAAAATGAGCTTAGTTTGGATGAGATCAGGTAAAACCTGATCAATTTTATCCCCAGTCACACACACAATATCTCCGATCTGTAATGTAATTGTTTTGTTCTTTTTACATTGGGGTAGTCAAGATTTTATGTCTGAAGTTAGCCTATTAATTCTTCTACTTTAATCTTATCAACATCTTTTTTTATTTATTTAATTTAATTTTATATATTTATTTTTATTACAGTGACTTTAGGTTGAAATCTAATAGGCAAAGATCTCAAAACTTTTTTAGCCACTTTGTGCTCTAAAATTCTCTCACGTAGGTTAAAGTTACTCCTAACATTTTTTTTTTTTTTTTTGATAAGTTACTCTTAACAATTTCTTTGAGTCTCAAGAATTTTCAAGCATTTCATCTTCTTCCACCCTAATAGTTTTAGTAGTAAGCATTTCTAATTTTGAGAATTGACAGTTGAGGTCCTTTTGTATGTAACCTTTCAAATACCCCATGCTTCTTTCATGTAGCACTCATCGAAATTCTAGCTAATTTAGACGACGTAAGTGAATTAAAATTGGTATTAATACTTTTAGAGTTGGCGTTGCTTATCTCTTATTTGTTTTGGACCGTTATAGCTTAGGTTTAGCCAAAGTCTTGCTCTTTAAGTTCCGGCGTTTTCACAGTTGGATTCAGCCAGTTTTAAGTAATGGCCAAACTTTTTCATCAGTGGATCTTAAGAACACTCTCACCCTAGCCTGCTAGTATGTTTTTTTTGTATTAGAAAGCTTTCAAAAGAGAAACACATCCCAAAAGCTACACATAGGCCAAAGGCCGAGGAGGCCCTAAGGACACAAAGAACCTAAAAAATCAACTAATTCCTCTATAGATTTACAATATCTCCCAGAATTAGTTACATTAATAGGTTCTATTTACCTAACTCAACCCCCTCAAACAATCATTAAAGCACCCCCTATGTGATGTTCGTTATTTACAACTTCTCTAGTATATTTCTCATTTAGTAATT